AACCTAAAGGGATTGTGGTAAAGCAAAGCAGACCAAGCTGTAAGGGTTCTAGAATCTGCTTATAACTAAAAATCTGAGTTACCAAAAACTGTTAATATCTTATTGTCAGAGTTCTTACAGAGTCTTGAATTTTTTAAAAGGTCTTGAAATTTGCCCAACAATTTTCCAGACCTGGAAAAAGTCTGGAAAAAAAGATAAAGTCTTGAAAAAATGGCAAAAAGTCTTGAGTTGTTTTGAAATTTACAAAAAGTGCTTTACAAGTGAAATTTTTTTTCATGCTGGTCAAATCTTATTCAATCTTTCCTGTACGTTTGCAGTGCATCATGAAAGAAGGCCTGTTCCTTCAGTTTTTTTTAAGGTCCCTATTTGATAACCTTGAGTTTGGAAAAAGAAGTTATTGTTTTGGAAAAATTCTGGAAAAAGTCTTGAATTTTGGATCCAAAAATCTGTACGAACCCTGTATTATTCACTCCCCTCAGGGCTTTTCAGGAATAATTTACAACATTGGTTGGGGGACTTTTGCCAGTGAAACTGCTTTCAATGCAGTTTACAAGTAATGAAGGAAAGAGAAATGATGCCCCTTATGTGAGTAACAATTTGAGATAGACCACCACACTGAGTACTGGGGCCTTTTTAAGGACAGTGTGTGGGTTCTTCATTGTCCCACATAATTTATTACAAATGTATATGTGCAGTGGTTGTGAGACAGGGCCTATGGTTTTCCATCCTTATCTGAGAAGACTAGAAAGTCTAACCTTTTGCAGAAGTCATTACAAAGGTAGCAGGTTATCTGACTCAGTTATTTGAAACATCCTGATTGCTGGTCTAGCTGAGGTGTAAGCCAGGGTAGCCTCCTGCTTGGCAGACCAGCGTTTGTCCAATTGAGCTAAGTGTGCTGCGGCGAAGAAAGGGGAAGAGTGACCCCACCAGAATTCTCATAACCAGGTTTATTCATTTTCTGCTTGCAACACTGACTATCTGTTTTCACCAGATCATAACTGACAGTCATACATAAAAGTGTTTAGCTAAGGTGGATTAGCACTGGTTTGCCGAGCAGGGGGTCGCTGGTTCAAAACCGGCTGGACCAGCACCCAGGTTCTTAAAATAACTGAGGATAAAGTACTGCCTTTGTAACAACATCTGCAAGCGGTAAATTTAAGGCGTTCTACATGTATACTATCTCATTTTGTAAAAATCGGTTTGGTTTTAGTTGGTCCACCCTTTACACTGCATTTTAGAGTCCGATTTTATGCTGCCGAGCCTCAAGATCTCAGTGAAGAACTTACCAGGTATGTGTGGAAGTTAAGATCCCTTCATTTAGAAGGATGGTTTCTTATTATAATGAAACAGGTCTGGTCTGACTCATACATGTTCACATTCAGTTGAATACAGCGACTAGAGCGGTTTTCACTTGACTGTCGAAAGTAATTGAGGAATTGGTTTGGTTTTGGTTTTACTACGCCCTTTGGTTGGCTAGTGTATTTACTTTGGTTTTGNGAAACATCCTGATTGCTGGTCTAGCTGAGGTGTAAGCCAGGGTAGCCTCCTGCTTGGCAGACCAGCGTTTGTCCAATTGAGCTAAGTGTGCTGCGGCGAAGAAAGGGGAAGAGTGACCCCACCAGAATTCTCATAACCAGGTTTATTCATTTTCTGCTTGCAACACTGACTATCTGTTTTCACCAGATCATAACTGACAGTCATACATAAAAGTGTTTAGCTAAGGTGGATTAGCACTGGTTTGCCGAGCAGGGGGTCGCTGGTTCAAAACCGGCTGGACCAGCACCCAGGTTCTTAAAATAACTGAGGATAAAGTACTGCCTTTGTAACAACATCTGCAAGCGGTAAATTTAAGGCGTTCTACATGTATACTATCTCATTTTGTAAAAATCGGTTTGGTTTTAGTTGGTCCACCCTTTACACTGCATTTTAGAGTCCGATTTTATGCTGCCGAGCCTCAAGATCTCAGTGAAGAACTTACCAGGTATGTGTGGAAGTTAAGATCCCTTCATTTAGAAGGATGGTTTCTTATTATAATGAAACAGGTCTGGTCTGACTCATACATGTTCACATTCAGTTGAATACAGCGACTAGAGCGGTTTTCACTTGACTGTCGAAAGTAATTGAGGAATTGGTTTGGTTTTGGTTTTACTACGCCCTTTGGTTGGCTAGTGTATTTACTTTGGTTTTGGTTTTACGACAGTCAAGTGAAAACTGCTCTAACAGAACATATATGTACATTAATATTGTTGCCCTGCTAAATTTCGACATCTATCATCGCAACGAACACATGAATTTTTTTTAATATCTTCTTCATATATAGTGCTACATGCAGTAAAGATCGCACATTTCAATTTTATTTTACTGTAAGACGCCAGTGTGTGACAAACACAGACTGCAGACTTGTAAACTGGCAGGTAAATGAGGTAAAGATTGTTGTGAAATGCTCTAACAGATTCCTTATCCCTAAACTAGACATTTAGAAGATTTTAAGTTTAGGGTTAGAGAATCCATCTAAGTATTTCACAACAATGTCTGCAATGTCTGCAAGTCTGCAGTCTGCATTTGTCGCACACTGGTTAGACACATCTCATCACAAGTCTCCCACTACTTGTACGTTTCACTCTATTAGAGTCTCTGACTGATTGCTAAAGGTTCTTATTTGGAATGTAGCTGTCGAATTTTTCCCCAATCTTAACACTTAACCTACTAGACTTTCATTGAATGTTTGAGATGCAAGTATCACTTATGTTATGTTAAGATGTAAGATGTAAATTTGGAGAGTGCTTATTACATCTATTAACCCCAACATTTACATGTACTTTAAAGGTTGTGAAAGTTAAAAAGATCAAGGATCCAATTGTTTTGTAAAAAGTGCCTTTTACACATAGTATACATACAGTAATTTGTATTAATATATATTGTAATTTCTTGTCTTTAGATTATTTTGGCAGTGGTAAGGGCTGTGTGTTGAAATTCAGCCATAGAGGTTTCAGATAACCTGATCACATCCCAAATTCTTATGCCTTGTCTGATAGGTTTAAGTATTGATTTTGTAAGGAGAAAACTAATATTGATAATAAGAAAAGTGAGAACTTAAAGGGTTTTACCTCTGATCACCTGTGAGTGTCATTGTTTTTTTCTTTTTATTGCTTTAGATACCATTTCTTTCTACAAATCAAGCAGGATATCTCCAGGGGAAAGTAAGTCCTTTTCAGTTATAAATGACACATGGACAGTATTGAAATGCTGGCTTTGGACCAGTGTCCTTGTACTACTCATAAACCTCTTTCATGATGACATCCCATTTATTTGTTTTTCTATACATGTAAATGAGCCTCCCTGGTCTCACTTGAAACAAACAATAATTGTTTTGTATTTTTCACATGCTAATGAGGCCAGAAAGGCTAATTTTCATACTTATATTTAAGAATATATTAGTGGGTCGCCATTTTGAAAGAGGTCTATGATGTCATCGCTCCTCATCTTGAAAGATGACTTCGATGTACAGTTTTGCTGAGTGCAAATTTTCCAATGTGTTGTTTACATGAGAGTGTTACTGGGAAGTCATCTAAAGATAATGTAAAAACCACTTTGCCGCTACCCCCTTCCCCACCCCCGCTGCCAAAACAGCTGGTATTTACATTAGAATAGTAAATTTAATAGTCCATGTTACAGTTACAGGTGCAAATGAGTCTGGAGTTGACCCTGTTTGATACAGCCCTTCTTTTCCTTATTATGTTAATCCATGTTATTCTTAGGCTAACTAGAATATTTTTTTAGCATGATTTTCGTAAGAAAAGGAATGAGGTTTGTATTAACAAGGTGCACAACTGTAACATGGTCTATTGCCAGCTTCATATTGTGGGAGACTGAGGTATAAATGTATGTATTTTGGGATTATCAAAACAAGACCTCTATAGTTTTAAAGAGAACAGCCTGCCTTATGAAATCCCCAAATTTGGTCTTAATCAAGCCGACATTGAACAAGATACTGCTTAAGAGGTTTTGGTCAAGTTGCAATAATTACTGTTTTTAGTTGTGGTTTGTTCTAGATGGTGACAAGAAAATGGCTTTTTTGTTCCAGTAGTTTAAATAAATGTTTCTTTTTTGTGTGTGAAATATCTACTTGTAAGAGTAGGTGGGTTAAATAAACTATTCAACAAATCCTACTATTTACTTTGGTAATGGATTGCTTGACCTTCTGACCTCTTCTTTCTTAGACTTGAGGTTCCCTTGAAGATTGGCGTGGACTTGACAGCGTATAGCTTGCAATGTAAGTGTATGCTGATATTTTTTCTATCCTGGGATTTGAAACCTTGTTTGCACAAATAATAATTGTATGCAACACATTGTAGAGAGTTAAACAGGCTGATCTCTATTTTTGTATTACAGCATTTTCACTTGCTCATTCTTAGTTTTGCAAATTATTTGGTGGTAGAATCCTATGTAAAAAAAACTATCTTCAGCCTGCATGTATTATGATTACATTTGTCTGCAATACCTCTTATGGCTGTTTGTCAGGGCTACATGTTCTGTGTTAGCAGCCATGGTCATAGTTGAGAAAGAGATTACAAGAATNAATAAACATGGTGGTAGAATCTTATGTTAAAAAACCTATCTTCAACCTACATGTATTATGATTACATTTGCCTGCAATACCTCTTAGGGCTGTTTGTCAGGGATATATTTTGTTCTGTGTTAGCAGCCATAGTCAAAGTTGAGAGAAAGAGATTACAAAAATGCCTTCAGATCTTCAAAACTTTAAAATGATGGCCTTATTACATGTGTTATTGACAAAGTACAATACACAATTCATTGCCATGTAATACAATAGCTTATCAAGTCAAAATGCGGAAAATTTTAAAGTATAAAGGTTGTTAACTGGTTTTCACTAGACTGGTTGATAAATATTGCCTTTGTTCACTGCCTCTGATAAAGATGTTTTTCTGTTTCCTCTCATCCATTCAGCTCATCTTGGAGATTTTGATCCTGAACTTCATGAGCCATCAACCGATTACATAACAGAGTTCAAATTTATTCCTAATCAGGTAAAAGTGAACTTCTGAAAAATCCTTCAATTCATTGGTACTTGCTGGGCAACTAGGTGTACTTAGCAGAGCTGTCTTTAAGGGCCGTAACCTGTAAAACCTGTTACAGCTGAGCTCACTTGATTCTATGGGTAATCAAAGTGGGAAGCTAGAGGTAACACTTTAAAGTTTTGGGGAGATGTTACGGTTGAATCTTTATTGCTATGGCTGCTCTAAAAATTAATGACAGCCCTGCTTAGAATGCATGTAAACAGTACCTTGATGGTTTTGGATGGTTGCACCCAGGATTTCAATCACAGACAGACTCAAAAGTTAGAACCACCTTGTACAGAATATATTAATAATGATAAATAGCTGCACTTGGGAAAGATTAGTACTGGTCAGGTATTCCATGCATGAGTCCCTTGCTACAGTTGACTAAACACAAGACTGTTTTACAGAAGATATGAGAAGGAACGGATGGATGTGGGACTTTCTGACACTGCTTAAGAAAGAATGTTGGCTTAATATGGTGGATAGCTGACGAGACTAAAGTTGGATATTTTTCCTACTTCCCTAAATCTGGGATTAAGTTCTGTAAGAATGACATGTTAGTGTTTGTTTCCTTTTGAAGACAAAAGAGTTGGAAAAAGAGATAAAGAAGAAGCACCAAGCACTTACGTAAGTGAAGAAAATTTAATTCTATTATAATATTATTATTGTTACTATTATTTTTTAGAAGAAAAGAAAAAGTTACATGATAACATGTAGTTATCACATATGATTTATTTATCTTTTAGCAGAAACCCATGACTTGCTTTTGTATTTTTCAGTGGTTTGAACCCAGCAGAATGTGAAACCAACTTTCTAAAGATTGTTAAGAACATGGACTTTTATGGAATTGACATGCATAGTGTTGTGGTATGCAATCTATATCTCACAAGCATTTAATTAACAATATTGAAGGGGGTTGAATATGATGTGAAGAATTATGTAGATCAAGGAGAATTGCTATCCCCCAAGGCTGAGGTGGTTAACAGCTAGATCTGTATAATTTTTCACATCATACAAAAGCAAAATTCAATTGTTTTTTATTTTTTATTCATTTAAAATTTTTGTAAGTTCTTTACAGCCTTACCTCCTTGTATGTGTTCCTTTAAAACATTTGCCTGTTTCTTCACTGACGTGGTTTCAGGATTTAAAAAGGTGTTTTTCTTACAGATTCTCCTCAAAAAGTAAATGACATCCATCAGGCAATATATTTGGCATATTCTTACATTTCTTCCATTAAGTTTAAATTGCAAATTCAGCTATTTCATCTTCGGATAGACAAAACCTCTTACACTTTTTTTATTTATAGTTGGGCAATAACCCTTCAAATCGGTTGGTTATTGTCTTCATCTTCCAAAAAACGGTAACCGCAGGCTGGTTATATAATAATTATTATTCACAGAAGTGGAGGTAGCGAGTGTTGGATGTTAACGAAGTCACAAAGCAGTGAGGTAAATATCCACCACTAACCACCTCCACTTACGTTTTCTTGCCAATAAAAATAACAAGTTTTGAAGGCATTAGTTTAGCTGTCACGGGGAAATTTCTTTAAAGAGTTGTAAATTGTTTCTGTATTTGAAACCATTCTGTAAAAAAAAAAAATTAACTTATGTGAGCTTGGTGCTGCTCGTTCGGAGGAGCTGGAAGTGAATCATTGAATAGCACTGGATATCCCAATTTTGAGTAGCCAATCAGAGCACGCGAAAAACATTATCCAGTGTCTTAGTTAACAGCCAGTGGTCCCCGATGCCTTGCTTTTGCTGTTGGGCAACTAAGTAATATTTTAGCTTTTTTAAGAAATCATATCCTGGACCCATGGATGTCACAGGTTTGGAGCTCCCAGCTACTTTCAATTTTTCTTATCGCACAGCCTCGTTATAACTATGATTGCTTTTATAGAGTTAAGTTAGAACATCACTAACAACTTTACAATTTTCATATCTTGTTATTTTTCTAGGGAGAAAATAAAGTTGAATGTCAACTTGGTTTGACTCCTCGCGGAATTTGGTTCATAAAAGAAAGAGAGAAGAAAGCTCTGTTTTCATGGTAAGTAAAATAGTGCACTTCTACTGTTATGCTAGAGCCAGGAAAATCTCATAAACCTCTGTTTTAATAGAATGCGAGCAGTCTCTTCTCTTCTTTAGATT